AAAGAAAAATAAACGTTCATTAAACAAATACATTAAAATGTAACATAATTAAGATAGATGATATAAGGGGTATTTTTAAAGAAGTTTATTTCTTCCATGAGAAAGAGAAAGAAAAAGAGAGAAAGGCATGGTCTTCTGTGATGCACTCCCCATACTTAACCAGCAGGGCCACGTTCATGCATTTGTGTGCCAAGTGTGTACAGGGAAACCTCTGAACACAAACCAGGGACCTTCTCTTGTGTCTTCAACATTGTGGAACATTGCGCTACCACTGGGCAACCACAACTGGCCAAAAGGGGTGTTATTTGATTGGTTGTCAGAAAAGGCTTTGCAGAAGATGATAGTTGAGTACAGGAAGACCAGTTAAATGCGATAGTAAACCACCTGGGAGCAGCATTCCAGGAAGAGGGAACAGCATGTGCAAAGGCCCTGGGATGGGAACATATTAGTGTTTTTGAGCAACTGCAAGAAGCACACAGTGAGAGATTTAAAGAAGTTACTCAATACTAGATCAGGAGGGCCTCAGAGGCCATGATAGGGACTCTGGAAATGTACTAAATCACGGTGAGAAATCATTGACTATTTGAAATCAGAATATGCCACGATATTTCTTATAAAATAGTAGTGAATATTTTCATAGCCCTTATTAAATGTATCAAAATCTGTTCAAGTGTTTTACTTATATAAGCTCATTTTATTTTAAATCACTATGATATAGATTATTATTTCTATTTTTCAGAGGATAAAGTTAAGACAAAACACAATTATGTACCTTGACCATATTATAAATACATTACAGAATTTGAACTTTCCTTTCAGTTGCTTCCATTTGTTTCCATTTATAAGGCTCTCTGAAATGTGGGATTAGTCTTTGGGGGCAGGAGATTAATAAGCAGGGAAACGACTGGGGGAGAGATGTCAGTGACTTGGACTACTGTGGTTGTGATGAAGGAGAGAAATAATGGTCAGATTTGAGATCTCTTCTAAATGTAGAAGAAACACAGTTTGGGAATGGATTGCATTTGAGATGCAAGAGAGAGGAATCAATGATGACTTCTTTTGGATCTGAACAACTATATAAGAGATGGTGTTTCCTACAAAGCGGGGGGACCCTGGGAGAGGAGATGGTTTGGTAAAGTGTAAAAATAGAGTTTGATTTGGAACACATAGAGTTTGAGATGTATATAGAGCAGATAAGAAGAGATATGGAGGAGGCAATACAATATTTAGTCTGTGGTTTGGGCTGTGGATTTAAATGTATAAGTCATTATCATATCGATATTTTAGGGAGCTATATGTCTAAATGAGATCCTTTATGGAAGGATTTTATGCGCTCTAAAGATTGGACTCTAGGACCTTCTAACCTTCAGAGATCATGAAGAGACAGAGAAGTCAACAGAAGAGTCAGATAAAGAGCAGCAAATGAAATACAGGCTAAGCAAGGAGTCGAGTAAGCGCGAGTGTGAAGGGGCGCAGATCATCTGTGAGGGCTGCGAATGCATCAAGTGAAGACAGAAGACCATTAAGTCTGGCTCAGCGCAGGTCATTAGACATCTTGACTACAGAACGTAAGAGACAAAAGACTGACCATTGAATTGGGTTCAAGGGACTAGCAAAATCCTAAGGCCCATGATAGTGACAGAAAATAATTAGATAACCTGAAAAAGGGAGTGGAGGAAAGAGTATCAAAGGGAAGAAGATAATAATGGTATGTGTCCAAATACTTAAATCAATTCCAAAATATTTTATTGATAATCTTCCACACGCTCGTCACTATTATGCACTGACATTAATGAGTTGCAGCTGCATTCATTCATTCATTCAGGCAACAGTAATTCATTGATTATCTCATATGTGAAGGCTATTTAATGAGTCGAATTTTAAGACACATTTTTAAAAATTGACAATATTTTCATTTTAAGATACACTTTAAAAGTGAAAGGGTGCATTTATACTTCTATAATTCTGTCCCGTCAACATTTTTCAAATTCCTTTTAAATGCTGTCAATACGTCTTCATAACTTCAACTCCATTTTATTAATTGTATTATAAACCTTTTACTTTGTCAATATAGCCTCATAATATGTTATCATAGTAAATAACTTCACTGTGTCAATGTACACTATTGGTTAACTAATCAATTTCATTACCAACTGTGTATGTTGTCTTCAAATTACAATGTACTCTGATTACTTGGCTCTAAGCCTGTCATTCTCATTGTACTACGTGTAGTCCCTCAAAGTCCAGGACCGCACCAGGTTTAATTCTGACATACTAGCAACTGCGTGACTTCTGGGTGTCACCGGCGGCTGTGTAGTGGGGTGTTTAAGAGCATGAATACTGGGCTGGCCTGTGGCCTAGCAACTGGAGGTGCTGACCATGCACGGCCTACTAGGTGACTTCAAGCTCAGTGGGCTTGAAAACACACCGGGAGCAAATGGGAACATGCCTAGTTCAGACAGTGACAAGAGATGGAGAAGAGGGATTGCCACGTGACCGTGGCCCATAGCCAGGAATTTCTCCTTCTAATTCTCTATTTTCCTTATTGCTCTCTGGCCAGCTCATGCGTTCTCTGGCACTTAAAAAACAAAACAAAAACAAAAAAGAGCATGAATACTGATGGCCTCAGTTCTCATTTTTCCTTCTCCACTTGTAGGTCTGCAACCTTGGTCAAGTTATTTGTGTAGAGTTTTTGTTTTGTTTTGTTTTGTTTTGAACTTGTCAGAGAGCGTGTGTACGCTCCAGGGAAAGGCAGAGACAGAGGAGAGGGAGAAAGCATCCCCTAATGGGGCACAATGCAATCTATTTTTCTCCAGTTCTCCACCCTGTCTGGATTGGGGGCAAGCATGTTCAGGCACCCAAGGAGGCCCTAGAAAAGGCACCTGAGACCTTCCCGTCTGGATCCGGTTACTTTGCTGCTGTGTCTGTCACTGGCTGTTTTTCAAGTTTCTGGTCCAGGTGGATCCGTGAGGTCAGCCATGTGGGGTTTAGCTCTCCCACCCCTACCCCCTTTTTTTGTCCTTCAGGTTTTTGCCATCAGGTGTGCATGCTTGCTAGAGAGAGACAGTGAGAGGGAAAGTGAGCAATGATCTCCCGGGAGGATGGCCACACCACCATCCTTTCTCCTCCACAGTTCTCTTGATCAGTAGACTAGACTCCAGCCCTCGTCTGTCTACTTGAACTTCTCTTTATCTCCTCTATAAACTGGAGCTAATAAGAGGGTGCTGTGAGGGTTAAATTTGTTAGTTTGTGCAAAGCCTTTATGCCTGTGCTTGGTACTTCGTAAGTACCATGTGAGTGCTTGACAAGTGTACTACATAAGAAGAAAAAAAAGACTGCCTGCAATACGTGTAATAAATGAATAATAAATCAAAGAACAGTTTTATTTTTGCTTTATACAGGTACATTTTTAAAAATTTAATTTTATTTCTTCTATGAGAGGTAGAGAGACAGAGAACAGGCTCTCCCAACAGGGTCTCCATATTATGACCCACCCTGTGCCTCAGCCGGGTGGACCAGGGGCACACATGCACACCCTTGGTATGCAGAGGCCCCTGAAAAGGCGCCTGGGCCTTCCCTTCTGGGTCTGGTTGCATTATTGCTGTGCCACTCTCTGGTCCTGCTTACAGGTAAATTTTAACTTATTGTGGATTACTTCCTTTCTAGTTCAGTAGCAATGTTGTGAGTAGGCATCAGGAGAGATAAACTGTAAATCCTTGGGATTAATTTTCACAAGTGGTATCAAGAGTGAAATAACGGGAACACGTCGATGGTCTCCATGGCACTGCTCTTTCACCGGGGAAGCTCTGTTCCACTGGGGCAGGGGCGGTGTCTGAGTTCTGTTCTGTGGTGCATCAGGCCTGGCACCTGCTAGCTCCCTTTCACGCCTAGTCACGCAGGCCCTTTTCTTTTTCTGCATCCCCGTTTTCCTCTCCGTAATTGCCTTCTCAGGGTCCCAGTGTCTTAAACAAACCATTAGTAAGATTCAAGTAGGTCACTCAAGAGTGGGACAAAAGTCAAGGAGGCGGTGATGAGCAAGGCGTGCGTTAAGAGAGGAGCCAAGTGAGCAGACGGCCTTTGCTGGCTTATGACGGGCCTTGCCAGTGACGAGGAGCACAAGATGGACTGCCCACAGGTACCAGCGAAGGCCCTTCAGCAGAGGGGTCTGCGTCCTGACCACGCAGACTACCATCTGCAGCGGGACAGTGGCTGAATGCTCTTGCAGAGACCTGGAAGAATGGGAATGAATGAAAAGGCAGTCGTTGTTTGGGATGCCTGCATTGTACCGCGCTCTGTGCTAGGCACGGCGTGGACACTAGTGGACAGTGCAGATTTAGACCTGCCGTCAGGACCCGCTGCTTGTTCTCATGACTGTCGCTTCCAGCGAAGCGAGAGCTCTGGGCTGTGGAGATCGCGTTCGTTTCTTCCTGTCTCGGTGGGTACTTGGCACGTGGGGGACGGACCCGGAGCGCTACAAATCCTGTAGCTGGAATCGAATCTCCTTGCAGCAAAACACAGAGGCGTGAAGACAAGGCTGTGAGGCTGCGATCTTGCCCTGAGCGCCCGTGGGCGCCGCCGTGAGCAGCGCGGGGGCGTGTCCTCCCCGGAGCGCCTGGCCTTGCGCCCAGCAGAGCCGCAGGACGAAGCTCTCCCTCCCTTGCGCTCTCAAGCCAGCCCAGGCGGTGGCAGAACGCTGAGGGCCAGAGCGCAGCCTCGCAACCGCCCGCAGGCCTGCCGAGCTCTGCTCCTCCTCGCATCGGGCGGGACTGCCGGAGGTGCCGCCCTGTGGCCGCGGCTCCGGGAAGCACCCGGAGCTAAGAGAGACGGGTGGAGCCTGAGCCGCGCGGCTGCGGCCAATCGCGGAGCGCGGGGGAGGAGCCCCAAAGGGGGAAAAAAGAAAGTGCGGCGGAAAGTAAGAGGCTCGCTGGGAAAGACAGCTTGGATCCAGATCCCCGGGGCTCCTGTGCGGCTGCTGGCGTGGGAAGGAGCCGAGTGCTGCTGGCGTGGAAAGAAGCCGAGTCAGGCGACCCTGCACGCAGCCCGTCGCTCTGGCTGCGCTCGCTCCGCTTTCCAGGAAAGGTGAGTCTCGCGCTGCAGTGAGGGCTCGGAGCACCCACCCAGCCGCAGGATCTCAGGGCAGAGGGCTTCTGAGAGACTGTCTTGTTCAGCCGTCCTGTTTTACAGAAGAGGAAACTGAGGCATGGGGCGAGGCAGCGGCTGGCTAAGTCCTTCATACTTCCAGGTAGTGCGGTGACCGGGAGCGAGGCCGCGGCTGATTAAACACCTCCAACTGCTGATTTGTGCTGCGGCCAGGGTTCGAACCCAGCTGTCCAGAGCCCCATCTTTGCTTTGTAGACAGGGATTTAAGTATCGAAGTCGTGGGAAGGCTGCGTGCTTTCTCAGCCTTTGGGGGGCTCCCTCGGTCCCTTTCCCCGCCATCCCCGCCGTGGCTTCCCCGTCGCGCTGCTGTGAGCGGTGAGCAGAGCAGGAGGCAGGGTGTTCTCGCATGCCCACTGCAAGCCCACTCGGCAGCACGTTGTTCCAGCCTGAGCCTGACAGCCTGCCTGCAGCCTCGTTCCCTCTTCCTCTGACCTCCTTTCTCGGAGGGATGCTCCTTCACAGGGTGTCCGACTGGCTCTCGATGGAGTCCGGGGAGCGATAAGGGACCTCGGGCGCCGGCGGTGGCTTGTGGTACTCACAGCCTCTCTGTGGCCCTGGAGGAAGTGGAGCCGGTAGCCTATGGGGCACAGGATGCCCCTCACGTAGGAAGAGCTGGCCTCATCGACTCGCCCTGTAGCCCCTTTCCACTTCCACGAACTGGGAGGAAACCAGGAAGCTGAGGTAAAGAGAGAATCACAAACATTAAAGCCAACTTCTGCCGTTTCCTTTAAGAACCAGTCCACAGCCTGTCTTCCCTCCACCTCTTGGTTGTGAAATTGTGAACCAGGACTCCAGGGGAAGCGTTTTTCAGTTCTGCTGTCCAGAGTCCTGGGTTAGCTACAGGCTGAGAAAGGAGGACTCACCTGGTTTTAACTTCCAATCTGCCATGTATTCACTGCGTGAAGGTTGAAGTTACCCCATCTCTCTGATATTTGTTTTTGTTTTGTTTTCAACTGCAAAACAGAGATTATAATGGCCACAGTGAACTCTTGCAATAGTTGGGAGGATGGAATTGGACATTCCAATAACACGTTTAGCACAGGGCCAGGCCTGGTACCTAGTCAGTTCAAAACTGATGGCAACTCTTATACATTTTGTTATTAGTAGCCATGGGTTTTCTGAAAGGTGGGTTACTATTTTAGAGTTACTTTAAAAAATATACCTGGAAATGTGGTAGTATTTTCTTTGGAGTTTAGGTGCCTCTGGTACCGTGTTATCTGAATGTTACTTGCATGTGACTTAGCTCAGGGATGCTTGACTCAGAATATGATATCGATGTTTCTCAGTGATGTAAATTTCCTACTCATTTCTAGGCCAAAGCTCAGACCTGTGAACTGCCCTGATAGGCGGCATCCTTTATTTGACGAGGGTCTTGAATTTAATGAGAGGTAGAAAGGCGAGGAGGAAGTTGGAAATTGCAGCTTTGTTACAGACTGTTCTAAGCCTTCTGTTTCTGCTTTCTTAGGTCAGCCAAGGAACTTTACATTTTTCAGCTAGTTATCGGAAAACAACAAAATGTTCATGTATTTCTCTTGGATAGGGCAAGGATGCTATTAAATTCAGTCCTTTCTGGGCATAAACTTGACTTATTTCAACTTTCACATAGCTTCCTGTATGACTGTACAAAAATTGAACACCTTCCCTCATGTGTCCCTCCCCTGGTCATGATTTTATTCTGATTGACTTCCTACAATTATTTACTAGTATCTACTGAGTATGCTGGAAGTACCCAAATGAGTGTCCAGCATCTGTAAGCGGCTGCCTGCTTCACAGTCGGTAGCATTTGCATGCAGTATTGCTGAGCGCATGAGAGCAGATAGGATGCATTTTGAAGGAAGGTAAAGGTAAGACTCTGGTGGTGCCTGCTCAGGGACCTCTGCACCGAGCGTGTACAGAGGATGGGATCGCTGCTTGCTCCGTTTGCATGCCTTGTGATGAGCTCGCTGGCTGGGATACATCTGAACGTGTGCCTGAGAGGCCGGGGACCAGTGGGAAAAAGGAAAATGTTCAAAATAAGGTCAGAACAAGGGGATGGAAAGGAGATAGAAAACTAATTCCTTTTGGTTATGGTTCTTTGAAGAAAGGATATGCAGCTGTACCCTTTCTCCTTATAAAGATTATTGTTTGTTGTTACCAAAACCACATGTGTGTACTGAACTTTAAAATTTCCCAAGTGCATTCCACATATCAATATTACCTTCCTTGCTGCTTGCAGTAGCCCTGGGAGAAGGACATGGCAGGTGTATTAATAGTGGCAGGAGCCCGTGTGTTGTAGTCAATCCTACTTTATTTCAAATTCCAACTCTAATACCTGAAGAGCTGGGTGATACTGAGCAATTTATTTCCCCTTTTACAGGTTCTGTTTTAGCCACTGCTAAAATGAAAAAAAAAAAAGAAAAAGAAAAACCCAAAAAAAAAACAAAAAAACTTACCCTAAGGATTTGTATGAGGATTAAATTAAACGGAATAAAGTCATGTACGTGAAGTGAGTAGGTGCTCATTAAATGATACTTTTTTTTTTTAACAAATCTCAATTTATTGAGAAGGAAACTGAAATGCGACTCAGACATGATGGGTTGCCAGGGTTTGTGGGGTCAGTAAGCTTCGGCCCGTGAAGATAACTCACCCCTTTTGACTTCTATATAGTTCAGAACTTTATCTGTTATACTCCGTGACCTCTCTGATGAGATATTTAACAATTTACTTCAGTTGTTATTGTGACCTTATTTGGCTGGTGATTTCAGAGTATCCTTTTTGTCAAAAAGTGCTATTTGCTTATTCAGATGACAATATTTAAAGACAACTCTGTAGAGGTTAGTGAGGATGACGCTCAGGGAGTTTAAAGAGATGACCTCTAAGGCAGCCTTCTTATTGCATGTGTTTGATGTAATATGTCATTAATTTCTAAGAAAAAGGAGACTATCAAGAGAGATTTTAGGGCTTTTGGTGCCATGGTAGATGGGGTGGCTGAATCTAGATTTGACAACACAGTTCAAATCTAGACCTGGAGGCTTGAAAAATATGCGGGGCACGTGTGCTTGGGTGCCCAAAATCCCGAAAGGAGAAAGGGAAGAGAAAGGACTGCGGCATGATCATCTGCCCTGGAAGGGTGGGGGTGCTGTTTCACCTTGTACCCCCTCTCCGTCTCCCTCTAGTGAGTACATGTGTCATCTAGCAAAAATTTTTTAAAAAGACTATATACATTTTCGATTTGTGGTATGTTTTTCTTCCTGTTCTGAGCAGTTTCTTTTCTCTGTTCCCTGTACTATTCTGAAGGCTGCAAAGAAGATCGCATAACAGATGCGGAGTGACCATAGGCGTGTGTGACTGTCCCCAGTTCTGTGGGGACATGTGGAGTGGAGAGACCTGTATCGCAAAGCAGCACTTGGAGAAAAGACCGCTTCTTGGTGGTGGTGCTGCTCGGGAGCGTCAGTCCTCCTTGTAGAAAGCGATGGCTGTAGGTCTGTGTGGGATGATTGATGTGTTTCTAGCCCGGGCACGAGGGCCATTTATCCACTGAGACTCCTCCCAGATCGTCAGGTTGGTCTGCTTTGTAGCAGACAGGCTCCTGCCCTTCTGGGAGAAACATTCTGCTCCTTGCTTTTGGCATTTGGGAGCACATATTTGCTTTTGCCAAAAGGTAGTCAGTTGGCATCGCCCTACCTGGCACAGTTAGGAAAGTAGAATGTGGCCGAAGAAAACCCGAGGAGAAGGCAGAAGAAGAAGAAAAAAATAATAGTAAAGGTTATCTCCATTATACACACAGTTTCATCTGTTGCTCCACTTCGCCGGGCTTTTGCTGGCGACACAGATGTAAGATCTGGTGAGTCACTGTTGCCTTGCCTGGGAAGTATTAAAGAGAGCCACCTACTGTGCTCTCTTTGCCCATTTTGGAAATTGTTCTGTGGGGGGAAAACACACCAAAGAACAGGAAGTTTACAGAACACTTGGTATCTGATATTTCGGAGGATAAATTCAGGTTACCTATTCACTTGCTCTCTTTTGTTTTTTTCCCTGAGAACCCACGGTTTACTCTGATGGAGTTGTTAAGAGACCTCCTTCCAGCCTGACTTAATTTGAACTGTCTCTGGTAGCTTTGGTGGAATGGATTTTAGTGTCTGGCAGCTACCTGAAGCAGGTTATTCTATAGGCATGACCCTAGGCTTGCAGTGAAGAAATACAACTGATGGCTACTTAGAAACTCAGATCCCTACCTTGGTACCTCATTCATGGGAGGCATTTGATAAACACGAATTCTTCTGCCAACAGTTACTTCACTTATTAGTTTGTGAAATTATGATCATCAACATTCAACAGTTACTCTTTACTGAACTAGTTTGTGCTGAGTGTTTTAGATAAATCATCTCATTTAATCTTTGCAATAATCTTCTCTCTCTCTCTCTCTCTCTCTCTCTCTCTCTCTGTGTGTGTGTAGGGTTTAATTTTACTTTATTTTTTTGAGGAAACGAGTTAGTTGAGTACAGGTTTAGTAGTATGGCCTGTCACATAGAACAGAGCAATGCTGAGACTCATCTAACTTCATTTTAAATCTAGGAAGGACCTTAAATTGTCTTGCTTCAGGACTAGAACTAAGGACCTGGACTAAGATAGATGACCTATTCCGTTTTCATCCTGCCGCTCGAAACCTGCTGTTACCTTGCCTGGGACTGGAAAGCCTGTTACTTTTGGGCCTAATATGTGGGAGAGCTAGTCGAGACGATCTGTAAGGTTCTTCTGCTACAACGCAATTATGTATTTTTCCTTAAGATTCCTTCAACTCTGAAATTCTGTAATCATATGTCTGCACAAATCACTCTTAACAGGGAAAAGAGAATAAGGAGAAAATATGCATACCATTTTATGCCCAGGAGATGTATTTTCCAGCCATGCAGAGGAGGGCAGGAGAAATAGGCATTCTT